ATTTGTTATTTAATTCCCACTGGGAACATGGTGCAGAGATCTTGGAAATGCTTAATTACGTGTATTTGGATGCAAACTTTTGGTTTGGGACACATAAAATTGCTGACACTGGAGTCCTCCACAAGCAGGTTTTTGTTGCAAGAAGGAAACCTTTGCTACAAAATAAATATGTTCTAATCACTATCAAAACTGAAGCAATGCTTTTATTTTAGTTTGTTGCTGACTTCTTTGATCAAAAGTTGACGGCTTGCTTTGTTGAAGGTGCATGTGTTATTGAAGGCACTGCTAAAGGCTCCATTCGATGGACAAAACAAACACTCATTTGCGACAACATCAACATTGACAAAATTTTTTAAAAATTTCCTTAGTATATATCGGTGCTTCAGAGGTAATCAGTTTTCATTGTAGTTGCAGAAAACTATTTTTTTGGTGGGGAGGTGTTGTTTTTTTTAAAATTGCTGTCTGTGGTTGACTGTAGTCATTTCAAGGTAGAAGTTTCCACCCTGAGAATCAGTGGATTGTAGCTAGTTAGTTGCATGGCTAGTTAGATTATATTACAGCATACAAGTATCAAGGCCAGATATCAGCATAAGTGGATTATGACCTAACAATTAACTGTTAGGGTGGTTTGTCAATATGAAATAAGGATTTGTTTATGAACAATTGATTCCATTGCTTTTTTATATCCAAGTTTGCAGCTTCCTGTCATGGTGCCTTTGAATTTCTCCACTCCAAACTCTTAGACTGTACTGTTTTTATCAGCCAAAAATGTTGTAGCCAAAAATATGGGCAGAAGGTATAGTTTTGTGTCCAATATGTAAAACATAATTGCAATTTGTGACATCGGCAAAGCCAGGCACAATCACTGTTATTGATTTCATTTCCGGTTGTTGCCTTATAATTATTGCCCGCAAACTTGAAATCAAGAGACTTGGACAAAATGCTGTTTTCAAATTTAGACAAGTGTTTTGTAGTTACATGGAAAAATGATGAAGATTTCAATGAGATTCAGAACTGTGCTAAAGTTGCTATAACTGATAGTTCGGATCCAACCGTAGCCAAGTGTATGAAAGTAAGTGATTTCTGGCTTAGTTTGTACTGCAACTTTTGCTGGTGGGACTCATATTTTTAACAAATTAGGAGTCCTGGACTTCTAGTTTCAAAATCCTAGCGAGACCTCTGATGGTGTTAAGTATTAATAATACTTTAAGTAACTTTGGATACCCCAACTCGTCTTTATGATGAATTTTACTATCAGACCTTGTTAAATGCATAGAAATCTACCAACTGTTGGAGCAGTTTTTATTACAGAATCCAGTACTTAAGGTGTTCTTGACAGTGATTACAATTTCATATACAATCCATAGATTACATTTAGAGCAGGTGAGGGCACCAACAAGGCATAAGTATTGATGAGGATGAATACTCTTGACTGGACAACCTAAAAATTGGCAGTGCTGAGAAAATCTTTATTTTTTGCTTGTCACTAGGCTGTGTAAAAGCAGATTCATACTTTGGGAATACATATGGGCATTTTCTACTCTTAACAAGCTACAAATCTGCCACATGTCAGTTATCCCTTTCTTTTACCAATTGTGCTTACATATTTGTCAGGACAGAACGTGTCTGAGAAGAAGCTTGCTTTACTTCTGATACAGGCTCCTGATACAAACTTGATAGTAAACTGGATCCAACATTGTGAAAATCCTATATTAACCCAAATCTGCCATCTTTAGGATTTGATAGAAGCATACCATGGTACCACAGGCAACACCAAAAACCAAGATTTGATAAAAAAAAAGTGATTTGATAAAAAAAAGTGTTGCATCAAATGCAAAATTGATACAACATGGCACCACAGGCACACCAAACACCAAGATATAAACATAGTGTTGCATCACAGTAAGCATCAAGTACTAAATTGATATTGCATGGCACCACAGGCAACACCTGGAAGTACTAAACGTACATATGCATAGCATAGCACCAGAGGCAAACACCTGAGATTAAAATATGATGTAAACATAGTATAGCATCATGAGCAACACCAAGGACTGGGTTAAGAAATCTGTTTCCTGTTGATGAATAAATATAAGCAGACATAAGTCCATTATTTTCCATTCAATGTACACAAAATATACTCTTTTGACCATACTAATTGGTTCCATATTCTAGTATTAGTTTTATATTTACCTGCTTAAATCTTTACATTGCATGGAGCTACTTATCTTGTATTACAAAAATGCATTTAAATTTCAAATTAAAAATGGTTTACATTGGCAAAGCATTATATGAAACAGGTGTCCCAATAATTGCATTTCAATATCAGTTGGATGAGAAGTCATTTTTCAACCTCAGGCTGTTTAATTTGTGTTGAGTTTTGGCACCTTTTAATAATACCAGACTTTAATATCAATGGTTGGTTGGAAAACTTTACACCTTTTTAATTACTTGTTGGTTGGATTATACTTTTTCCCAGACATATTCCTTCAATAACCATCAACCTGACCTAAATTATAATGAAAAAATTATTCCTTCAATAAATAGGATACAATAAAGGAGTTAACTTTTGTCATATGACACCAGATAACAAGTAGATTGCTTCAAAGTTCATACTATATGAATGCAGTCTAGTTTGGTCTGTGGGATGCAAGGCGAACTAATATAATATCTACTGAAATGTAGGTTTGTAAATATGCTAGAAAGAAAGAAAAGGTAACATGGATTTAAAGATACATACACATTGATTTAAAATATACAGCCTTCCCATGAAAACTAATGCTCAATGGTGCACTAAAACATAGATTGCATTCTAAACAATTACACAAGTTATGAAGGGACCTCTAAAATATTAAGAAGGGGGTGCCATCCTGGCTATAGACACAGAGAAGACCATGTAAGGGGTTGGGTAATACCAATATTAACTGGCTCAGTACTTGTTTTTTAATTGTATTGTGAATGATTGTCAATAAACTGCTTTTTTCTAATAAAATTATAAATTGCCTTTTTTCAAGATAACTAATCTCTGCAAGAGCATTCCAAAGATATTTCCAATTATTGTTACATGCATGCCTATTATGTTACTGCATTTTGCACAACAAACAAGATTCTATTGTTCAAAAAAACTTGAGAAATTTGTTTGATGAAAAGACACAACTTTGAATTGTTTCATTAATGAAAGGTTGATGCCTTGATTTTTTTCAGAAGTGAAATATATGATCATCCATGAGCAACATCAGAGTGCCATTTGTTTTGTATATCTTTATTTATGGGCTTCATTTGTGTCAGTGTTATTGATTGAGAGTGTGGAAGTAATTCCTGCTTGATTTTTGTCATGATCCTATGAAGTAAACAAGATGTTTATTTGAATTATGAGTTCATGACATGAACTTGTTTACTCCTTAAACTAGAGTTTTCCATTGTAAATCTATCAGGGTCAAGTGAAATTTGTATATATATATATATATATATATATATATAGGTTTTAAAACAATTTTTCATTCCTGTTTTATGATCAGCCTTGGGAATCATTTATAGATGTGTTCAGATATAATTTGAGAGGAATTATTTATTTGGATTACTCATTAGAATTACAAAGTGATAATGTACTTCTTTGGACTAAAACACCACAACATTGTAATTACTGTGAACTTAAAGACATTCTGGATTGTATCATTGGGATTACTGTGAACTAAAAGACATTCTGGATTTGTATCATTGTGGTATATTAGGACATTCAAGACTTGGAATCCATTTGGAACATTCTGTACTTTTGGACTATTTAGAATTATTTAGTATTTAATTTTCAGTGCTGTCTTCTGAATTTTTACTTCATAAATAATTTGTTGATTTTACTAAATTATAAAATATTTTGGTTTTGCTTCTTTCAGTTACTTATTTTCAGATCATAACCTGTTAACACAAAGAATTTTAAGTTCACAACAAACTTTGCAACTCACTTCTCCACAATGAACCATATCTATCAAATGAAGCATTTAAATTTACCACATACTCTTTGTGCTTGGTGTCCTTACAATCTTTAAACATTTGTAATGTCTAAGATAATTTAACTATACTTCAGTTCTTACATAGATGGTAATATTTATATTAGTGCTTGAGTTGTTAATTGAAATGAGTTGACCTGACACATAATCTTGATGGTTATATTTAGAATATTCATGGATTGTATATGGACTGAATTTAAATATTCATTGATGTTAAAAAATGTAAAAATTCCATCCTCTTTCTTTGCTTACTTTGGTAATTATTGACAAACCCACCAACCCACTCCTTGTCAAGCCATATTGGAAACGCTTAACTAAGTCATCTAAGTTGAATTTAATGATATTATGTGGTCATGAGTACATGTTTTGATGATTAAAAAAATCAAAATGTGGGTGTTATTTATCTTTGTTATCATTTGGCACAGCCATAAATGTTCCTTTATTGCTGAAGACAGATTTTTAAGAAGAACAGAAACTCATTACCTGTTTCAAGTTAAATGCAGGGACAATACTAAAAATGTTTTTGGGATTTGATTTGTTCAAAGTCTAAGTCACATAGGCTTATGACCAATGTAATTTAAGTAACATTAGCTATGTTGATTGCAGGTCTCCTGACTTTTTGACAGATTATTCAATGCCCAAATAAAGCATTGGGAGTTTCTACTAAGCCATAAAAGAATCCTTTTCATGCAGACTTGATAAATAATTGTTGTAACTGAAACCCACACTCAGGTATACCAGTAGTCCTTATTGTATGTGTGTGATTTAGATTTTTAATGTAGCTTTAACAACTTTTCAGTCATATCACTAAGATATCTGCAGTGTGACAGTTTATAGTGATGTCTTAGTACTGGGGCATCATGCTACAGACATTTGGCATGATGTCCCACCCAGTCACATTATCCTGACAATAGACCGACCAGTCCTAACACTAACCTCTTATTGTTGAGTGCCAAGCGAGGCAGTTGTTTGTACCATTTTTAAAAGTCTTTGGTATGACTCAGCCAGGGTTCCAACCCGTGGCCATCATGCATCAGAGGCGGATGCTCTAACCACTAGGCCACCGGAGCGGTAGGCCTTATTGTAAGACATGAGTGTGGAATGGGCTTGTGTTTTCTGTAAACTTCATAATCTAAACCTATATGAGAGCAAGGTACCTGGAAAATAGTCCCTCTCTCTCTGCGATAATGGGGAATATAACATTTGGTTTTCATGGGTTAGGAGAAGTTCCAAGTAAACAGTTAAGGTCATTTTCCAAGGAATAGGAAACAAAAAGTGAAATAATCCCTGCATGAATACTTATACTAATGCACAGCAAAAAGCCAACTCCCTTTATTTAAAAAAAAAACATGGGTTTCTTCAAATATAAACATTGCCTCACAGACCAGTCCATACATTTACAGAAAAGGGTACCTGATGTGAAACGATTTAAAGTGTGAGTTATGGATGTTATATGACAGAAAATGTTAGAGCAGATGGTTAATTTAGAATTTAAAAACATGTCACATCAGTAAAAAAAAGGACAAATTAAAACCACATTTCAAACTTTTAAAGAAGAATATTAGAGTGAAGTAATACAGCACTGAGCAAATGATAATCCCCATTGCATAATTCCAGTTCAAGATCATTCAGTGAAAATTACACATAGACTAAAGTCAGCATAAATTGCACATACAGACTTGAGTTAAAGTCAATGAAAAATACACATACAGACTAAATAATGTCAGTGCTGAATGTAAATCATTTGTCAATATATTTTGTGTTTGTGTTCTGCTTGACAAGAATTTTGACAGCTGTAGAACCAGGTTATTGGCAAAAATATGTGTATCTTTTTCAGATGTGCTGTAATTCTTGTATATAATAAATAGATTATACCTTTAAATAAAAAATTATGCTCTTTTGTCACTTGTAGCAATAATTAGGTTTATAGTGTTAGGACTGGTAGGCCTGGTGTCGGGATAATGTGACTGGGTGGGACATCATGCTACCTGTCTATGACATGATGCCCCAGTGCTAGACATCACACACTGCAGACATAGCATATGACTGATATAACTGATAGTGTTATCAATGAAGATGGCAAGCTATAGATAGGGTTATTAATGAAGATGGCAAGCTATAGATAGGGTTATTAATGAAGATGGCAAGGTGTAGATAGGGTTATTAATGAAGACGGCAAGCTATAGATAGGGTTATCAATGAAGATGGCAAGGTGTAGATAGGGTTATCAATGAAGATGGCAAGGTATAGATAGGGTTATCAATGAAGATGGCAAGATGTAGATAGGGTTATCAATGAAGATGGCAAGATGTAGATAGGGTTATCAGTGACTAGTGAAGATGGCAAGGTGTAGAGTTATCAGTGAAGATAGCAAGGTGTAGATAGTATTATCAGTGACAATGGAAGGTGTAGATATGGTTATCAGTGAAGATGGTAAGATGTACATAGTGTTATCAGTGAAGATGGCAAGGTTTAGATAGGGTTATCAGTGACTAGTGAAGATGGCAAGGTTTAGATAGGGTTATTAGTGACTAGTAAAGATTGCAAGGTTTAGATAGGGTTATTAGTGACTAGTGAAGATGGCAAGGTTTAGATAGGGTTATTAGTGAAGAATAGGGTTATCAGTGAATATGGCAAGGTGTAGATATGGTTATCAGTAAAGATAGCAAGCATACCCAACATTAAGCAGAGTATATACCTATATATTGAATACAAAGTATTACTGATTTCAAAAGGCTGTCAAACTTGCTATCAATCAATATTCAGATAAAAAAAATTTATTGACTCTACTAGTCAAAGAGCAGAAGAGCATACTTGATGTCTGCTGTCTGTCCATTGTTTGTCTGTCTGTACATTAACACAAGCCCCGTCTAAATTACATAAGAGTATTGCCATGAAACTTAACATGCACATTTATCCTATGATTTAGTTGGTCATAAAAATGTTGATGTTCACAGATCCTCTGTGGCTGCTACAGTGGTCATCTTCAAACTCTTTTTATTCTTATGTCTATTTAATCCTGAAAGAAAATGGTGCTAATCTGAAATCCAATAAAGCCACTACAGTAGCATCTTGAAAAGTTTTGGGTATTCTTACATGGATGATCATATAAAAATGGAGTTTTAATTAAAAGACTTCTTACACATACACATGGCCTTAACCATTTCTATCATAGAGTGTATGGCTTTTTAGCCCTTCAAAACACATGTAGCAATGTTACCCAGTGCAGTCCGCTATGCATAGGCCTGTTAAGTAGTGAAGTTTATGCTACGTTTAACAGCAATTTTAACCATTTTGTTTTTTCGATACATATATTATGTAGGGAAGATTTAAGAGTAAAATATGGTCATTATAGCTGTGTAATTATTTTTCACAAAAGAATTTTGTATGTGCTTTAAAATCTTGAGAGAACTCATTCACCATCAAGTCAGTGAGGAGCCATGTGACCAACCATAGCTGCCATTTCTCATACTCGAAATTTACCAGTTCCTTGTCTGCATCTACATCGCTCAATCAGCTGAATTGGATAATTTATAAAAACTAATAGCTTCCTACATCAGTATCAGAGCCTTTACCTAAGTTATTGAAGCTTTCATCATTGTAATTCTAATCGTGAAAACTCTAGCAAGTACTGTTGATATCCATATCCACAAGTACTGTTCGATATCCATATCCACGACTGTCATTTTGGAGAGAGACACAGTTATGACCTACTTGCTATAAATAACAGATTTTGACCAGAGCATAAGCAGTGATCACATGATCTGACTTAATGGTCATTCACACCAATGAATGTAGTATGTAATAGGGGGTTTTCCCCAAAGGTGGCACTACGAAAACCCCCGCTCAAAATGGCTGCTGTTTACAGATGTGCCAAAATGCACTTGTATGTAAATCAGGTACAGGTGCCAAAAGGCGCCTGTATGTGAATGCGATAGAGGCACCAAAAGGCATTTGTATGAGGTAAACGGTTAAATAAGAATGGTGCCCTGTCACAGTAGCCATATTAAAAATCTTCATAATTGCAATCCTCCTGAACAGAAAGTTATATTGATGTGGGGCTTTCAATAAAAGATATCTTATGATATCCAGTTGGATTTGAATGAAATAGGTACCAGTCTGACATTCATTTTGATATCCAGTTGGATTTGGATTTGAATGAAATAGGTACCAGCCTGACATTCATTTTGATATCCAGTTGGATTTGGATTTGAATGAAATAGCTACCAGTCTGACATTCATTATGGCCACCAAGCATCTAATTACTGCTGCTTCTACTATTATCAACATGGGCTTTCACAAATTGGCTTCTTATAATACCTTGTTGGTCTTAAGTGAAATCATACATCCAGTGTGGGTGCCATGATGTCTATCTTCCTGTCACTATTCCCATCAATGGATCAGTATGACAAACAGGTCTTTGAACAGAAGACTTCAGATGATGAACACTTTCTCCTAAGTGAAAAAAAAATGGTTCCAGTCTGATAGTTGATATATCCACTACAGCAGCTGATTTAAAAATCTTGTTATTATTGAAAACTATTAGATAAAGTTTCAACATTAAGTAGTTAAAAGGAAAATAGATGTGAAGTCCTGTTGAGCATCAGTCCCTTAAAGGGGCTCTTGTTTTTCATGATGGGGGTTTGACCTAAAAAAACAAAAATGAAAACCTAACATTTCATTTTAACTTTAAAATATACTAAAAGCACCACCTCCAACTTAATTTTATAAAACTTTAAGATTTGCAAAAATGATGAAAGGCTCCACCTGGAAGGACCCCCTCAAAAAAAAATTGTGTGCAGTTTTTCATTAGGCTAGCCCATTAGTTGAGAAAGCATGTGAAATCTGCAGATTTAAGAACTGTTGTACACTGTTATATGCAATCTTTTTTTATTGAGCAAATTCTTTCTGTTTATTGTCCATTCTATGTAAAGAAGACTTACTTTTCAGTGCATGTATTTGGTTTAGATCTGATATCATTGATGAGTCATACATGCACTGCAGTGAGACATTGTGATTTGCATGTGATTTGCATGTTTGTTTTGAAATTAGCTGCAAAAGATATTTGGACAAAACTGAATATTAGGAGCTGAAGATAAATTGTAAACTACTTGTTTTTACATTAGTTGTAATTTGCCTGTTGCCTTATCAGTTATTGAAATAGATTCATATGTTTTCATACTTTAGTGGAATATTTTTCAGACAGTTTAGAGTTATCAATACAGATAGGAACTACAAGGGGCACTTTTTAAAATGTCCATATTTGTTGAACCCTTGTCTTTGGGAAGCCAGATGTTAGAGTCACTTTTTTCAAACATGGCAGCCATGGAAGCAACAGTTTGTTACAGTTTTGGTAAAATGTTTTTCATTTGCATGTATTTTCTAAACCGTTTCATCGATTCTCATCCTAATAGGCATAAATCATTATAAAGCTAATAGATTTTATTCATCGACTTTACTTCCCCATTTTACACTGGTCCTGCATGGTCACAGAAACTTTACATTAGGCTTTTGTTTAAAGATTTTCCTGTTCTGACCATACTTGGTATTAATGATTGTGAAGCAAAGAAAATTATTACATGACATTCTTAATTGCTTCTATGACCTTAGGGTGTCAAAGTTAACCTTTTTTCAGTCATATCACTATGATGTCCCCACCCAGTCACATTATCCTGACTCCAAGCCAGTCCTAACACTAACCTCTTAATTGTTAAAGTTTTGGTATTTCTTGAACCCTATGATGGATTTTGTTCATAAATCTGGAAGAATCATCAAGAAGACAAGATATGTCATAAGGTGACATACACATTCACAACTTTGACCTTGGGGTCATGGTCACTCAAAAACTGTATTAAGGCTTAGGCTTAAGTTTTTATATGCCAGACATCTGTCTATCCAGCCATCACATTTAACTTTTTCTTGGTCATTTTCTAGTACACAATGATTGAATGGTCATTGATTTTTCTAGTATATAATGATTGAAGGGTCATTGATCTTTATACATGCTATACTTGGGTTTTCTTCAAAATTTCAATCATCCCACTCATTCATTTTGACCTTACAGTTCAAAGACTGTTT